TCTATAATGATTGAAAGCTTTGCTGGGTATAGTAGTCTGGGCTGGCATCCATGGTCTCTTATTGTAGGTAGAATATCTATCCAGGACCTTCTGGCTTTCAGAGTTTCCAAGGAAAAGTCAGGTGTGATTCTGATAGGTTTGCCTTTATAGGTTACTTGACTTTTTTCCTTTGCTGCTTTTAATATTTTCTCTTTGTTGTGTATGTTTGCTGTTTTGATTATTATGTGGCGAGGTAACCTTTTTTTTTTTTGGTTTAGTCTATTTGGTGTTCTATAGGCTTCTTGTATTTTCATTGGTATGTCTTTCTTTAGGTTGAGAAAGTTTTCTTCTATGATTTTGTTGAATATGTTTTCTGCACCTTTGAGTTGGATTTCTTCACCTTCTTCTATACCTATTATTCTTAGGTTTGGTCTTTTCACAGTATCCCATATTTCCTGGATATTTTGTGATAGGGATTTGTTGGACTTAAGATTTTCTTTGGTTGATGAATCTATTTCCACTAGTGTGTCTTCAACTCCTGAGATTCTCTCTTCCATCTTTTGTATTCTGTTTATTATGCTTACAGCTGTAGATGTATCCCATTAATAACTGGATTATTTGGTTTGTTGATGTCTAGTTTCTCAAGTTCTTTATATATTTTGGATATTAGCCCTCTATCAGATGTAGAGTTGGTGAAAATATTTTCCCACTCTGTAGGCTGGGAATTTTGTCTTACTATGTCCTTTGCCTTACAAAAGCTTTTCAGTTTCATGAGGTTCCATTTATTAATTGTTGGTTTTAGTGTCTGCACTATTGGTGTTCTGTTCAGGAAATTGTCTTCTGTGCCAAAGTTCAGGCTATTCCCCACTTTCTCTTCTATCAGGTTCAGTGTACCTAGTTTTATGTTGAGGTCTTTGATCCAGCTGGACTTGAGTTTTTATGCAGGGTGACAGATATGGATCCATTTGCATTCTTCTACATGCAGACATCCAATTAGAGCAGCACCATTCGTTGAAGATGCTTTCTTTTTTTTCCATTGTATATTTCTGGATTCTTCATAAAAAAATAAGGTGTCCATAGTTGTATGGATTTACATATGAGTCTTTGATTTGATTCTATTGATAAACCTGTAGTTTTTATTACTGTAGCTTTGTAGTATATATGGTTCTCTAATAGGATTTTTTGGGATCATTTGGTATACTATTATATCATCTGAAAATAGTGATACTTTGACTTCTTCCTTTTCAATATGTATTCCTCTTGATTTTCTTTTTTTTTTCAACTTTTTTATTTGAATTAGAAACAGGATTGTTTTACATGACAATCCCAGTTCCCTTCTCCCACCGGTCCTCCCCTACCACTCCCCCCCCCCAAACTGTTCAGTGTTTGAGAACTGAACAAGGGTGTGGGACAGTTCCTTGGGTAGGTTGGCAGCTTACCTGCTCTTCTGACTGGCTACAATTATATGTATGTGAGTATGCTTGTGTGTTCATCATGTCCATACAGGAAGCCAATGAACTCCCTGGGGCTGGAATTATGTGTTTGTGAGCCACCCTATGTAGATGCTGGGAGAGGGGTCCCTTGGGAATGAGCACTCTCAACTATGGAACCATAGCTCCAACCCAGGTAATGTTATGGGGCCACTATTGTATGTTATAGTTAGTCATTGGCTGGGGTATCACAGACACATGACAATGCTGTTTTGGTATGCACAGTAGAACTGTTATTCTTGGGGCATGCTGTAATTGTTCATTTTTATCATTAATTCTGGTCACATTCCTCCCTCCATGTTCTCCTTTGTTTTCTTTTTAAATTTTAGAGGAACTGACATTGTTGTCCAAAGTAGTTAAACCATATTTTATTTCCCATGGTCAATACACTTGAAATTCAAGTTCTTATCTTTACATTAACCTTTCTTCCTCCCAGTGTAGAGGATCACATGCAGGCTTTGTACATGCTAGGTGAGTGCTCTACCACTGAGCTTTTGCCCCAGCCCACACCAAACTTGTTACTTATTCAATAATAATCAATGGTGATACATTGTGGAATTTTTTTCCTTTCCTTTTGAGGAAGCATTTTTCTATGTAACTCATTCTGGCCTTGAGCCTTTGACAGTCAGTTGGCCTTCACAGTAATGCACTGTGGTTGACTTACATTTCTATAATATTTACCAATACAATGACTATTTAAATCCTTGCCCAAGGAAAGTTTTTGTTGCTGTTAAGCTGTAAGAATTTTAAGCCATTATGGATGATTTTAAGTATGTTCTCCTATGTCACAGGCTGGCTGTTTTTTCACTTACTCCATAGTATCCTGTTGATGTACAAAAACCCTTAATGTTGATGTGTTTTTGTTGCCTGGTATGGTTTGGATAGATTTTTCTGAGCTTGTATGTTTGAAATTTAATTCCTAGTTTCATATATTGTTGGTATTTGGAGTAGGAGATCAGTACTGTGGGAGATAATTAAGTATGGATGAGGTGTTCAGGGTGGTGCCTCCCTGATGAGATTAGTGGCTTTGTAAGACTTGTGCTTGTATGCCAGTTTTCACACAATGTGGTATCTGACATGGCCAAAAGGCTTTTACCATATAGGAACCACCCCTTGATATCAAACTTCAATTTCCAGAACTGTAAGACATAATTTTCTTTATAAATTATCCATATGTGGAATTTTGTCACAACAACACAAATGAACTAAAATAGTTCTAAGAAATCATTGCCAACCTTGATGTCAAGAAGAATTCCCTCTCTGTTTTCTTCTAAAAGTTTTATTTTTAAGTGAAATTTGTATGGTGTAAGGGATGAGCTTTATTTTTTGGCATTACTCCAACATAACATGTTGAAAAATGATTCTTTCCCTACTAAAATGGTCTTGGCACTTTGATAAAACCACTTGGTCATACATATGAGGGTTTGTTGTTGGGCTTTTAAAAAAGCTCTCAAACAAACATGTTTTATATTGCATGTTGAACAGGAATTTGTAGACAGCTAATTCCAACAAGTTAAAATTTTCTGAAATTAAAATTTGCCGAAAATATTCTAAATTTATGCCTGGCCAGTTAGAAAAGTCACTCTACCAATTAGTGCCAGTCCCATATAAACTAACAATAGCCAGACTGATGCTGCTACCTGTTGTTGGGCACCACCTGAACATCAGGCTGTCAGTATCTCTCGTATACATGATAGATCTCCAATATCTTTTGATATTTTGGGATTAAACAGTATATATACAATGGTATTATTTCCTAAAAGCCCCTTTTATATACGAGATTCTTGTGTGAACAACAATGTAAAATTGTAGAGGGAGGCTGCAGGGCATTTGGTGAATCAGCTGTACAAGTAGGGAGACTGTTCTTAGTATCTAACAGACCTTAGGACAGAGGTTCTGACAGGTGCATAGTCTCACCTGGACCAGACATGAGACTATACCTGTGACTACACTCCCCGTGACCTCCTTTCACCCCCAGAATCTTCTGTTTGGGGTGGTCTCCTTTTAAAATCACAGCTAAACATAAGACTTCTTCTCAGTGGATGAAGTTAATATGGTACTTCCATTGTATCCAAAGGAGGCTCCATCCTTTGGCTTCTGGCCAAATGAGGACCTCTGTTGATTTTGTGATGGCTAACATTATGTTTTAAGATTAAATTACTGTGCTTAAGAGATCTATAAGACAAAAATGCCTCTAATCTGTAAGCCTCAGATGCCCAAGGACAAAGTTTCCCAGAATTGGGGGGTGGGATGCTATTCTTATAATTGCCTGGTCTTGTACAATTTAAATGGAACTGTTGTTCATGTAAGGTAACCAACCACATGTTTTTGCTTCTTTAAACAAGCTTGCTTATCCATGATTGTAGGTAGACGGGATGTGTGCTCAGTTACATGTAGGCAGGAAGTAAGTCAAGCTGTGTGCTTGCCTCTTCATGTCCCTGATTGCATGAAGGAAGTAAGTGTGTAGCTTTGTGAGTTTTGTCTTCATAAGCTCAAAATCTTGGATATAGACCTGGTGCCAGTATCTGAGTAAAGCCTCTAATTTGTTTAAAACATATTCATGACTGGACTTAGGAAGTTATAACATAGAAAGTCTCACTTGGGACTTTCTATGTTATAACTTCCAGGCAGAGAACTGAGGAAGGAGGCATAGGTTTCAAGGTGATCCAGCTATAGGCGTCACCTATTCTGGCTTGGGACAATGGTTTCCAGTTTCTAGAGCATGCTTGAGTCCACTACAGTACAGTTGACTCACATCTTTGGGATGTACAGTGTGGATATCATTGTTTTAAAAGTCTCCTTAGTGAATTGTTTTCTTCTGTGACCTGGTTGAGAACCCTGGCCCAGAGCAACAGTGCACTCTCCAGAAGTTCCCAGAACCATACCTAGCACAGTTATAGGAAGTGGTCTTGGAGGTCACACAATGAAAACAATGGGTCTGAGGAGTATGCTAATGCCTCTAATATCCTAAGTTCCTCAGGATAGGGGATGTAGGGGTAATGCTGGGTGGGGCTAGTAAAGTTGAGAATGTGAGAGGAGGTGGCATTTCTCTTCCTACTGGAGCAAGGTTTATATCTGCAGATTTTCCCTCAAAACCAAAAAACAAAACAATGGAACAAAACCAGTCTGGCTGCTCACCTGGCCCCAGCTGGAGAAAGCCCATTCCACACACAGTTGCTGGTTACAGGCCTGAGTATCCACAGGTCGTTTGGCCAGTTGGGTACACATGTCATTAGACACTGGGGTAGAAATCCCAGATGCTTTCAACTTCTGACAGGTCACTCGGCGGGTCTGGACACCTCCACCGCAGCTCCGGGTACAGGCAGACCAGGAAGTCACCATCCACCTGAGGAGGAGGACATAAAGGCAGCTGGAGACAGTAAGGCCTGAGGGAGACAAACCTTGCCTGTTTATCTCAACACACACAGATGCTAACTTGCTTGTAGATAAGGGCTTTTCACTGCTTGTTTGTGAGACAGGGGTCTCATTGTGTGACACAGCTTGGCTTTAGACTTGTGATGCTCCCGGCTTGATTGCTGGAGTTATAGGCATGCACCATAGTTAGGATTTGGAGATGAGATTAGATGAATAGACTCTACATGCCCTTATCAGAGGGAAATGCATATAGGGAATAGGTGGCAGGGAAGAGGAGCTTCAGTTTTATGCAGCCACAAACCAGGGACTTTTAGAGGTACCGGAATATGGGAATGACAAGGAGCAAATTCACCCCAAGTCTTTACAAAGGGCACATGGCCCTGTGGATGGCTTGATTTCTGGTCTTCAAAATGGAGTTTTATGATACCATTTGGACAAATTTTTCTTGCAGCTTCAGGAAATTGATAAAATTGGGACATTGACAAGGAAAGATTATACTAAGGGTTGATAGCTTTAAGTTCCCCATACTAACAAACCTACAGATAGAAAGCTTTTAGTTAGAAACTCACATTACAGTATGTCATCAGGGCAGGGCGTTTTACTAGGAAAGTTAGGTCCAAACATATTACCTCTTGACCTAGGAGATTATCTGGGTTTCACCAAGGTCAAGGTTTTGTCTGGAACCTCGCTCCATCTTTCAGAAATAGTCAAAGACATTCCAGATTTCTAAGGTAATTCCTACCATTAGTAAGTCAGTGTAGAAGTCATATCGTTTATCTTGGGAAGTTATATGTATAGCATAAATATCCATTCTCAGAAAGTCATTCTGTAATCCAGGGACAGTGTGAAGTCCTTAGTCCATAGTAATTATGCAGGAGCCCTCTTCTGCATGTGTGCACACACAACAGATAATTTTCAGGGAGTATAAGAGGCATGGTACTTTCCAGCCAATTTTATAGACTCTAGGCACACCCCACCAGTTGTGATACCTGGAGTCTGGGACTAGAACTTCAATTAGATGAACAGCTAGCTATCTGGGTAGGAGTGCCATTTTAGTATAACAGAGGATGCTAATGTGGACCTCAAGCCCGACTGGCACTCTAGTCAAATGGAAACCTATGGTGCTTCCCCCACCAAGTGGGACCACATTTGATTTTCAAAAGAAGTGTGTGGAGAGAAGGGCAACAGATTCCTTTTTGCATCAGGGCCTGCAACGACTTAGTTTGTGGCCATTTCTCTCCTCTTTGGCCTGCGAAGTACGACTTTAGGTGGATTTCTAGGTCAAGGGAACATCGTATTTAGGAAGCAGGCACAAGGTGTTTTAAAGCCACTGGAATCGCTGAAACCTAAGGAGAGACAGCCATTGCCATTTCAGTTGCTGAAGTAAATTAGGCTGAATAACTCTGACCATCACCAAATCAAATCACAAGGTTCCTGGCATGTAAAAGATCTCTTCTTCATTTCATGCAGCTTGGCAAGGGCAGTCTTCCAGATCCTTCTGTCCCTGGTGAATGTCAGGCCTGCATTTCAATCAACTTTGATTTCTAAATATACATTTCAGTGAAGTTTTCAGGAGCTGGGGTGGGGGTTTTGAGAAAGCAGAGCTATGGGCTATGTTACCGTTCAGGAAGGGTATAAAGGGACATTAATCATTCCGGTGGAAACCTTCCCGTCAGCAAGTCAAACTGCTGATATTAATGAGTGTGTTTCATATTTCATGGAGTCTCTCCTAGTCTCAGCTGCTTTGTGACTCAGCTGGCAAAACACAAAGAAGTTGCCTGAGCAGTATAGCAAAGTCCTACATATGGGTCATAAAAGGGCATTTCAGGTCCTAGCCAAGTCTCCCGGGTTGCAGAGTGCCATGCTGGTGCCAACTCCAACCCGATTCGTGGTCTGTTAGCTACTGCCTAAAGACTTGGGGATATGAGCTGAGTGGGACTCAGGGCTTCCTGAAGCTGGAATTACACGAGAGGAGAGAAGGAGATTGTGGGTGTCATTGCAGCCTAAAGACGAATCTCAAGTGCAGGGACAGCATCTAGAGTTAAAGTAGCTATAGGAAAATGGAGATGCATTCCAACATTAGCGAGATGCAACTGCTAATGTTTTCGTTAACTAAAGCAGAGTACTTACTAGCTAGCAGAGGTATTTAGTTAGACAAAAAGGACAAAGTTGGAGTTGAGCCCAGTAGCCCTGGTCTCCTCAACATTTCAATAGGAAATGTGTTTCAAAGTCAGGTTATTATTGCAGGATGGGTGTTACCTTGGGCCCCACCCTGGGACATACTTCTTTACAGAGCAGACTCTCAGGACTTGACAACCCAGGTAACTTCAGTTGGCTGTAGGGTGAGGGAATAAGGAGAACTGAAAGCAGAGGTCTTCTCTGAGGATATTGCCAGTGTGGTGGAGAGGAAGAGCTCCTTGAATTCCATCTCTTTCTGCATGGTGCTAGACTACTAGCTAATAGTCATGGCAAGTGGCTGGGGGTAGGATGGGTAGGTACACTTACCGAGAAGGACAGTCTCTCCGGTTGCAGGCAACGGGCTGCACCGCAGGCCGGGGCTTTCCAGCACAGTGCTCAGGGTCAACCTCTGTGTTGTTCAGCAAACACCTGAGGCGGGGCTGATGAATCCCTCTATTACCACAAGATGCTGAGCAGGTCGAGAGTCTCTCCACAGACCACCAGTAATCTGTCACAGGGAGGACCAGAGGGGAAGAGGACATGGTGTTACTGCCCACACTTGTCCTAAGGGCAGGGACATTCCAACAAACTTGGGCAAGGCTGATGGGCTCCAGGAGCCTCAGTGTACTCACCCAAAGAGGAACACAGAGAAATGAGTAAAACGGAAGGAAAGGGCCTAGCACTGTAAGTACCCGGCACAATATCTAACCAATAGCCATAGGGCTTATTGTTTTTAAACATACTTGCTCAAGTACTCTTTTTTTTTTTTTTTCATATTGGTTCACCAGACAGTGACTATTTTTCTACAGAGAGGTATAAACATATCAAGGTGTTGAATCATGTTTAAAAGCATGGATTTGCATTGGAATTTGTACATTTTATAAAATATTCTACCCAGAAAGTTCTCCTTTATGTGAGACAATGAAGTGAAGGGAAGAGTCCAGCGCTTTGGTTTTTCTGTTTGGGGACTTGTGATGTGTTGTGGGGAAGGCTGTTAAAATGAATGTTGCCTTGGGATAGTTGGAATACACATTTGTGAATGCTTGCGAGTTACAAAAACTGCAGATAGGCCGTGAGAAGGGGGACATTTGTTCTCCTATTTGGAGAGCCAAGTGGCAAGGGAGGTTGTTCCAGCAGAAGATCTGTGTGTTTGGAGAAACCTGTCTCCTTTCATGCAGTATTAGTAAGAAGAGCAGGCAACCCTCTCTGCAGAGTCCTATTCAGTCTTGGGAGTACATTCCATAGCATTTGCTTACCTCAGCAGAGTTACATAGAGCACACTAGAACCAGTCGATGGAAAGCAGCCTCCCACAGTCTCCGTAGAGAGGCCAGCTTGGGCTTTCTTTCTGCTGCCTTCAGCTCACTAGCATCTCTGGCTAGTGCAGGGAGTGTGGACTTGCTGACCTGCCTGTATTACTGGAAGGCTCACATCTGAACCATGCAGGCAGCCTTCCTTCCTGTGCCAAAGCCAATGGAAAGGCACCTGGAAGGCCCTTTGCATGTGACTATGGCTGAACACCCTGAAATGTGAGGCCTAATACTGCTCTCTTCAGGCAGAGGGCAAGTGACCAGCTGGCTAGATCAAGACATGCATTTTAAACAGAATCAGCAGAGAAGACATCGCTGTGCATAGTCTTTCCTAGTTAAAACATGCGTAACTGACAGTGATGCCCTCTGCTGCAGGTGGTGGTGGCAGAAGTTAAGGTTTCACAATACACACCCATTATCTAGTAGAGAGTGTATCAGTATGTTCTATTACAGAACAGACTGCTGCTCCAAGCCTGGGGAAGCCTCACCTTGGATCACCAAAGTTGCTTTCTGCACAAGGGTTCCTGCTTCGTTCTGAGCCAGGCAGCTGAACTCCCCTTGAGGCAATCCACTGAGATTTGCAACCTGGAGGATCTGTCCAGCTCCCCAGATGTGGTGGGTGAGCCGTGGGGCAGTGGTAATTGGCTGGCCATTTTGGAACCAGGTGATATTGGGGGTGGGGTGACCTTTGATGGGGCAGCCTAGAAGAAGAGAGAAGACAGTCATTGGTACAACTAAAGCCCACATTCCTGGTGAGCTCGTGAGTGTTTCCATGGCTCTAGGAATTGTACACATGTCATGGTCTTACTGATAGTATTTTTATTATGCTTGCTTTTCCCAAGGAAAGGGGGCATTTTCACTCTGTGGACTTCTGGGAGGGCGACTATTCTTCACTCAGCTCAATAAAAATGCTTGAAGAACACAAAGTGACTAGTTCTCTCCCTGCCTCTACACTAACTTCTCAATGAATCAATGGCAATTGTGCCATTGTTTTAGAAGTTTTTTTTTTTTCCTGGGAACTCTTCCTCTGATTCATTTATAAAGTTTTTCTTCAAATGTTGGGGGAAAATTACAATATTCTTAAATAAGACTTAAGAAGCTTCTACCAATTTAAATGTAATCCCTGCTGCCATGTTACTTTGTATTATTTTGAAGTAATAGAACTTCAGCAGACACTAGGAAAATAATTTTATACATTGGCCTCATTTGTCCATAAATGAAGAACCATGATATTTTGACAACTCTTAACCAAGCATGGAGGATTGGATATGTGCAACCCTAACCTTATCTACATAATGTGCAGCTCTATTCTATGCAGCTACAACATTTTTTGATACATTAGAATTCTAAAATATTATACTGAACACATTATAAAATTGGTAAAATAGATGGCCATTGTGAGGTAAAATGCATTTTCTCTGAATCTGGGGCACTTGCTGTATTTGCTGTTGTAGCCCAATGACTTAGACTCACTAAGAAAGTTGTTTTGAAGCTCACAGTGCATACCAAATTATTAAAATGTAGAGAAACTGAGGTTTTCCTTCAGTTCAGTTCAACAAGTATTTACTTGGCACCTACAGCTCTAGGGAGTAGGAAGGTAATTGGGGCAGCCTCCTCTCTTCCAAGGAGCTCCCAGCTGGTATGAAATTAAAAAGACAAAGTAACAGGGTGACTATTTGGATGTAGGAAGGGGACCAGTTGGAGAGGAGGGATAGAGAGGATAGATAGTATGTGGGGGCAACTGAGAGCCAAGTATAATGAAATAAACACATATGCACACAAACATACATTCCCAATGAAACCTGTTGTTTTGCAAACTGAGAAGATTTGACTAATTGTTCACAGAAGCTGCACAGTCAGAATTTGTGTATTTCAACATCTATAAATTGTAGGGCAGAAGCACCAATGCAGGAATGGCATTTAATGCAGCTCGATGGTGAGGGAGGGAAGTTCATGTGCTGTTTTATTTCCTTAGGATGAATCCAAAATTATTCACAATACATGTTTGCATTATTTCATTCATTGATCTTCAGGAATAACTCTGTGCAAATAATTACTTTTCCTATAGCTAGTTTAGTCAACTCTCTTTTCCATAAGATTTCAACAAATAAAAAAAATGGCTGGACCAGCCCATCGTTTTCCAGAGTCTTCTACAGGGTTTTTAAAATACGTTCATTTTTTATTTTATGTATATAAGTTTTGCCTGCATGACATCTGCAGAGGTCAGAAGAAGGTAAGAGATCCCATGGAACTGGAGTAATGGATGGATGGGAGTCACCATGTGGGTGCTGGGAACTGAACCCAGGTCCTCTGCATGAGTAGACAGTGCTCTTGATTAATGAGCAAACTCTCCAGCCCCTTTCTTTTTTTTTTTAAAAAAATTTATTTATTTATTATGTACACAGTATTCTGTCTGCATGTATCCCTCCAGACTAGAAGAGGGCACCAGATCTCATTTTGGATGGTTGTGAGCCATCATGTGGGTGCTGGAAATTGAACCCAGATCCTCTGGAAGAACAGCCAGTGCTCTTAACCTCTGAGCCATCTCTCCAGCCCCTTTCTTAAATGTTCTATAGTTTACTTAAAAGTTCTTGGTGGTTCACTTTCCCTCACTCAGCTCTGTTGGAGTCAGAGATTATTATCATTCTTGATTCTGACAATTTTGACTTGGCTGTCCTCTAGAAGATGCTGCTGGGTAACCCCTCCTGTTTTTCTCAGAGTAAAGCAAGTCCTGAATTACAGATGCATGCTGCTCAGGTTGGAGGCTTCCTTAGCCTCCCTGGCATAAGAACTGTAGCTTCCAGTTCCATTCAGGGAATGGAAAGGGAGAGTGATGGCCCAGAACAAAAAGGCTTGTTCTGTCTCCCTCCCTCCCTACTGCTAATAAGGGTGTGTACGGACAGCCAGATATTCTGTTGGCTTTCTGTGTTGGGAAGGAAAGGGCAGCAACACTCTGTGGCCAGAGCCATAGAAGTTTGAAGCAAGGTTACCCTCAAACCTAACAGGCAATGCTACTTTGCCAGGCCATGCTGGGCTATCTTCCTTTATATCACGACTCAAAACAGGAATGTCTTTCTGGGTAAGCAGGCAGGGAAGGGGACTGACTCTAGGTGTCTGCTCCACATGGCCTCAGTGGTTGTTTGGTTGGCTGGATGAATGTGGGTGGGTAGGGGAGGAAAATGGCCCTGGGAATCTCTTCCTAAAGTTCAGGTTGGACTCTAAGGAGTCCCAGATAGGCACAGTGGAGGTGTGGGTGTTTGAGGTCTTTGTTACAGGTTGTTGAATACACACCCTAATTAAGGCACTCCTAAAGTTCCTTCACCCTCCTAAGGCCATGTACATTTTGCTGCATAGATGATAGTATTTCCTCCACATCAGGATAGTGACCAAAGAGAATACACTTTTAATGTGTGAGATTATTCATCCTGAATTGAAAAAATTTTCTTAGGGAAGTCTATCTTTGGTCTATTTTTCAAAGAGACAGACCAAAACATGAATTCTAACTAAAGTAAATAACAATTTTCAGTCACCTGCCTTTTCCGTTGCTGTTTTGTCTTTCCTTGTTTGTGATTGCACACACAGGTGCCTCTTCAAAACATCTTTTGAACTCAGTAGTAGTATTCTTAGCACACACGCAGTGCAGGCTCCTGGGCGTTTACATATGTGTGTGTGTGTTTGTGTATGAGTGAACACCATGGTCTCTGAAGATTGCCAGCAGCAATAGTCAAAACAAAGGTCTAACACGAATTCCCACTGTGCATGTTCCCAGAGAATAATTATCCATGTTTCATTGCTAATGAGAAAACCTGGCTTGTAACAGGGGTCCCTTCTGTCACGGATATTTCTCATTTGTTAAGGTAAAGACATATCAATCATTTCTTTTTGAAGCTGAGCACTCTCTCTGTGTGCCATTTGCAAGGACATCCGAAACTGCTCTGTATTCAATGCCTCCAAAGAGGCCAAGTAAGAACTCCCAAAGCCCAGTTTCTGCATTGGTGAGAAATGTAGTAGTGTTTGATGCCTGGGGAATGAAGAGGGGTGGACACCTTTTTTTTCCTGCATTCTTCTCTGCTTCCTAAGTGCCAAGCTTTCCTATTCTTCAAGCCTCTATGCCTTCCCGAGGAAGTGGACAATCAGAGGGACGGACAGTACTCATTCCTCAGACCTTAGCTGCTAAAGAATTTGGGCTGTGAGGTGACTGAGGGAAAACAGTGTTTGGGAAAGCTACCTAGCTAATGAGAGTTCTGGCAGCAAAAAGCCTCTTTCCACCAACCCTTCTTAACCAGCGAAAGAAAACACCACCTTTAGGCTTCCATTTTTAGGCCTTCTGTGGTTCTCAGTGGAGCCAAAGCCAGGTGTGAGCGCATGGATGAAGTTTTGCTCTTTCATTTTTATCATCATAGTCATCTCCTCTTCCTCCTCCAACATACTGACTGTGTATGTTTAGAGTGAAGATGTACCAAATAAGAAAAGTTATATAAAAATTCTTATTTCTGATTATTGTTATTTTGAATATAGGCAAAAGCATGCCTCCTCCTAATGTCTATAACATTCCCATACACCGATAGGAATCAGGGAAGAGGCCAAAGAGTATTTGGGTCTAGGAAGCATGAGTCAAAGGCCATGGAATTACACATCATTTGTTCCACACATGGCAGTCAGTGGCTCCAGTGAGCCCAGGAATTCCATCCAGCTGATATTCTTGCTTCTATCAAATGCTCTTCACTGACTTTCATTAGTTCCATGTCCTGACTTTGCATTGGTTTTTAGAGCTGTAGTAGCCTGTCTCAGGGAAACAGCCCACGTTTGAGAGAAACACTGGTGTAGAAAAGTGGGTGGCCTGGTGGCCCTGGCTTCCAGCTTCCTTGCGTGCTGTATGTACTGGAGATGCTAGGGACCTTAAAGGTAACATGATAAGGCTGCCTTTGAGGCACCATCTCCAAAGAGGCTCTGAACTCACGGTGATCATTAGTAGATTTTTTGTTGTTGCTGTTGATGTAAAGGGCTGAAAACCACCAGGAGCACTGGCAAGCAGCTTGGTTTGTGGGCTTCTTGGTAGAGAGCAAGCCAACTCTAGATTCATTAGCTGTCTGTCACATATCCAGAGTTCATTTTCATGAGTTCTGAGCCTTAATGAGTAGAAGTGAGGTTTCAGAGCACATATCCCTGCCTCCCTTCTACTTCTCCAGATAAAAAGCTCAAACAAACAAAAAGTAGCTTAGGTTGATAAATCAATCACAGACCAAAGACCGTATCTGGGCTTTAGGAGCCCAGGAGGAAGAAAGCTTTGGAAGTGGGAATGTACAGTCCAAAGGAGGAGGAGAAAGCAATGCTCTGGGAATTTTCACTTATTTCATTGCTATCTAAAGGAAAGCAAGGCTGTGGCAGGTTGGGACATGCTGTGTAAAAATATTAAAGACGTGGCATTATTACTTCATGAGCTGGCTCCAGGCCTGTCAGCGTTTTCATTATAATCCTGTGTTTTTCACGGAGTTAAAACGTTACTATAAAAATGATGTGTGTTGGGATGGAACTTGGCACTCGGTGTAGTCAGTCTGGAAGTCCTTTCCTTAATTTAATTTTACAAAACTGGAAAACACTCTCTCGCTCGGTACTTCAGAATTTATAGAGGCCCCTCTGGTCTGCCAGTGGTCCGAGAGGGTGTGGGGGCCCAGGCTAGGGCCATAGGGTGACCAACAAA